GCAGAGCAATAAAATCAATGTTGGCGTTGAAATTCTCTTCACTTGTGGAAAACACGGGGCCCTTGGTGCCGGGGATATTGGATCCATCGATATTCCTGACAGCTTTTTCTGTTCTCATTAAGGGAAAGAGGATATTTAGAGGCAAGCTGGGATGGAGGGTGGTTCATAACTCAGAGGAGGGTGAGGGCTGTGGGATTCTGCTGCTGCTGCAGGACTTGGGTTTGTTTTATTCCCTTCAGGAAGTCCCCAGTTTAACCAGGACACCTCGGAGCAGGGGGGATGATGTCCCCAAAGCTGGCTGGCTCTGCATGATGGTCTTCATTTGCATGAAATGCACTGTAAACACAAATTATTGTTTGGTTTAGGGAGGAAAAAGTGACACATTTTGGTTTCAAATCTGTCACTCCGGAGGGTTCTTCTCGCTCGGGATTTGAATCTGCCCACGGTGACAAGTTAATAACAGTAAATAATGTAAAGCCTGACATACATTTAAATAATGTTTTAAAACTTCCTAAATCCTTAAAGGCTTTGCTGCTGAACGTGGATTAGCATAATCTTATTATCTGGATCCCTGTGGGGAAGCAGCATCCCTGGGCTCCCCCAGTTCATGGAGAGACAGATCCATACCCACGGCATCCAACAGAAGTCCAGAGCTGTAAGATAACCTCATTCCAGGCCACTCGGATAACACAAGGAGATTCCAAGGTATTCCCAGGATCCAGTTTCCCTTTCAGCATCTGCAGTTGTCTTTCCCAGCAGCAGAGCCCCAGTGGCACAAACACAGTGTTCCCGTATTTCCTGAATTTCTGGGAAAGCCCTGGGAGCCAAAACACCCCCCAGACTCCCACCTCTTGTCTGTTCTTGAGGTGATTAATCCCCTTATCAGGGATGAGATGGAATAGAAAGCAAGCACTGATCCGAGGATCAGTGGGTGCAATTAGGGAAGTGATTGGGGAAAAATTAGGGAATGGGGAAAGATCCAACTGAGGCCTTCAAGGAAGGGCTTGGTATTGGGAGAGCATCTCCAAGGACACAGTTTTCCACTTCTTCTGACTTCTTAAAGCTGTTGATTCCTCAGGATCCACCTCCAGGGGAATTCAGGAAGGAAAAATCAATGCTGAGCTGGTTTGGGGTGACCCCTGTGCAAGGCCAAGCTGTTCATGGAGTTTCTCCATCTTTAAAAGGCAAATTCATAAACCCCAGAGATGTTTGTTTGGCTCTTTGCTCTCAGCTCAGTGGGGGACACTTTCAGCTCTCTGGGTGACACTTTCAGCTCAGTGGGAGACACTTTCAGCTCTCTGGGTGACACTTTTCTCATCTGTTTTTGTCCCTTGTGGAGTTTTTTCCTCCATTTTCTGCAGCCTCCTCTGAGCAAACACTTTTCCCTTCCCAGCATGGGACAAAATGGTCCCTAATTTGTGTTACAACCCTTTGCTCTCATCTCCATTTATCTTCCTCTAATGTTCCCACTTTCTAGGCTGTTTAAGAAATCCATTAGGACCCAGAAGGATGATAAATAGTATTTTTCAGCTCCAAAATCTGTACAGGAGTTTCCAGCTGATGGATGGGGCAGGTGGGACTGGTTATTTATTGACTCTTTGATGTAAGAAATGGTCCTGCAGTGCTCATTTGCAGCCTCAAAATTGTGAGGAAGAGCCCAGAGGCTCAAGATAGTCTTGTCCTTCTCCATCCATCTATAATCTGTATCTAAACTTTGGGAGTATTTGTGGATGAGAAGCTGGACATGAACCAAAATGAGCACTTGAAAGCCCAAAAGTCCCCCATGGGCATCAGATGAGGGGGGGATTCTGCCCCTCTGCCCCCTCAGGTGAGACCCCACCTGCAGAGCTGCTGCAGCCCTGGAATCCCCAACATCAGAAGGATTTGGAGCTGCTGGAGAGAGTCCAGAGGAGGCCACAGAGCTGCTCCAAGGGCTGGAGCCCCTCTGCTCTGGAGCCAGGCTGGGAGAGCTGGGGGGGTTCACCTGGAGAAGAGAAGGATCCAGGGAGACCTGAGAGCCCCTTGCAGGACCTGAAGGGGCTCCAAGAGCTGGAGAGGGACTTGGGACAAGGGATGGAGGGACAGGACAAGGGGGAATGGCTTCCCACTGCCAGAGGGCAGGGATAGATGGGATATTGGGAAGGAATCGTTGGCTGTGAGAGTGGGAGGGGGTGGGCTGGAATTCCCAGAGAAGCTGTGGCTGCGCCTGGATCTCTGGAAGTGTCCAAGGCCAGGTTGGAGCAACCTGGTTTAGTGGAAGGTGTCCCTGCCCATGGCAGGGGATGGCACTGGATGATCTCCAAGGTCCCTTCCCACCCAAACCATTCCATGTTCTTGCCCATCTCTGGCAGCTCCAGCTCCGTCCCAGCAGCAGCACTGGGGGTCTCAGACCCTCCTCAGCTCCAGCCCAGAGGCAGCTGAAAGACTTGGGATTAACCTGTCACTGGAATGGATTTAAATGCCAGGGAGTGGGGATCCCTTTGGGAAGGGATTCTTCCCTGGGAGGGTGGGCAGTGGCTGGGATTGGATTCCCAGAGAAGCTGTGGCTTCCCCTGGATCCCTGGAAGTGTCCAAGGCCTGGTTGGAGCAACCTGGGCTAGTGAAGGTGTCCCTGCCCAAGGCAGGGGGTGGCACTGGATGGGCTTTAAATTCCCTTTCAACCCAAACCATTCCATGTTTCCGTGGTCTGGGGCTTGTGGGGAATAAATCTGGTTCCTCCAGATCAGTGCTCAGGGTGGGGAAAGGGTTGGCACAGGAGGTGCAGTTTGTGTCGAAAACGCTGCAATTGCCCCGTTTCCTCCTCAGTGTCTGGGCTTCAAATCACTCCTGGCCCTGAATTATCCTGATGTTTTCAGCCCCTGCAGTGAAGCCCCATCAGGTGAAATCAAAGCAAATTGCTTGAAATCCAGCTCTGATGAAAATCCTCCCTCTTCCTCACCATCCTCCTGAAGATTTTTAATTCCCTGCCAGCCAGCAGGGAAATTGGAATGACCTGTGTGACACCAGACTTGCAGGAATGTCCTGTTTTTAGCAAGGGCTGGCCCTGTATCTCTCTGCAACACTCATGGTGATGTCCAATGAATCCACAGCCCTCTGTGAGGGAAGAGGGAATTTGGAGGTGGATTTGGCTAATAATGAGTGTAGTGGGGCTGCTGGTTGGGTGGAAGATCCTCCCCTGTCCTGGGCACTGGTGGGACACCCAAAATCCCGGGGCAGTTCTGGCCCTTCATGACAAGACATTGAGGGGCTGGAGGTGTCCAGGAAAGGGAACGGAGCTGGGGACGGATCTGGAGCAGCAGGAGGGGCTGAGGGAGCTGGAGGGGCTCAGCCTGGAGAAAAGGAGGCTCAGGGGGGACCTTCTGGCTCTGCAACCCCCTGACAGGAGGGGGGAGCCGGGGGGGTTCAGGCTCTGCTCCCAGGAAACAAGGGACAGGAGGAGAGGGAACGGCCTCAAGCTGTGCCAGGAGAGGGTCAGGTTGGATATTGGGGAAATTCCTTCCTGGAAAGGGCTGTCCAGCCCTGGCCCAGTGGTGGAGTCCCCATCCCTGAGGGAATTTAACAGCCCTGTGGATGTGGCACTTGGGGACATGGGGCAGTGGTGCCTTGGCAGTGAACTCAGTGACCTTGGAGGGCTTTTCCAACCCAAAGGAGCCTATGGATCTATCCCATGACCCAAGGACTCAGTGTCCCAACCTCCCTGAGAGAGGAGGTGGCTCTGTGGGATGGAATTTCTTCCTGGAAAGGGTGTTCAGGCTTTGGCAGGGGCTGCCCAGGGAGGTTTGGAGCCCCCAGCCCTGGAGGTGCCCAAGGCAGGCCTGGCCCTGGCACTCAGTGCTCTGGGCTGGGGACAAGGTGGGCATCGGGCACAGCTGGGACTGGGTGACCTTGGAGGGCTTTTCCAACCTCAAGGATTCCCTGGTTCTGTGTTAAGGAAACTTTCCAGCCCTGCTGGTGAATTCACCCAGTTTCCAAGAGTCACCAGAGCCAAATTCCTGCTGAACCACAAAACTCCCAATGAACAGCTTTGAGCCACAAAACTCTCTGTATAATAGAGAGAAATATAATAGATCTAGAACTACTGAACTATTTTCATTAATTATTCCCAAGTGTTTGCTCTCAGGGCACTGGGGGAGGTGCTGCTTTGCCACTTCCAGTCAGGATAAAAGAGCCTTTTCCTCCCCAGCTTCCCTCTCCCCACACAAACATTCAGCCTCTGCCTGAGCCCTTCATCCTTTCCCATGATCCAAAGGCAGATTTCCTGCTAAAACACAGCATTTGAGGCTGGCAATGGGCTGCTCCATGGAATTCCCAGCCCAGAACCAACCCTTGGGAGTCAGGATGAGTGAGCAGGAGCTCAGTTACAGAGCTGGAAAGTCCAGTGGGATCCAGTTCAAAGAGGAGCCCTAAAGGGGCTCCAGGAGAGCTGGAGAGGGACTTGGAACAAGGGATGGAGGGACAGGACAAGGGGGAATGGCTTCCCAGTGCCAGAGGGCAGGGATAGATGGGATTTTGGGAAGGAATTCTTGGCTGTGAGGGTGGTGAGGAGCTGGGCTGGAATTCCCAGAGAAACTGTGGCTGCCCCTGGATCTCTGGAAGTGTCCAAGGTGAGGTTGGGCCAGATTTGGAGCAACCAGGGATAGTAGAAGGTGTCCCTGCCCATGGCAGGGAGTGGCACTGGATGGGCTTTAAGGTTCTTTCCAACCCAAACCACTCCATGCCTGGCAATTTTCCCAGCTCCAAGAGCAGGAGGGTGCTCCGACAGAGACCCAATATTTTAGGGAACCTCCTTTGAGAAGCTCAAATCCACTGATTCTTTAACATGATCCAAAGGCAGGTTTCCTGCTGAAACACAGCATTTGGGGCTGGCAATGAGCTGCTCCATGGAATTCCCAGCCCAGAGACAACCCTTGGGAGTCGGGATGAGTGAGCAGGTTGCAGAGTCGGAAAGTCCGACGGGATTCGTGTGACCACAAAGTGGTTTTGACCCTCCCATTTTGCAGGTGGTGGGGCTGGTGATGGCCTGGCTCTACTGGCAGAAGCTCAACGAGATCTACTCCAAGCTGGACACCGTGGACTTCAGGATCCTGGAGCTGCGGGATTTCAGCTTCGGGGCCGTGGATCTGAGCGGCGCCGGCTGGTGCTGGTGCTTGCCCAGGGAAGGGGGGTACATCCCTGTCAACCCTGGGGACGAGGAGGAAGAGGAGCAGGAGGAAGGCAGCACCTCCCACAGCAAAGTGTGAGGAGCTGGAGGACTCAGAAAGCTCTGGAGGAGGCGGCGGGTGTCGGGCGTGGAAATAATGTGATTTATCTTCTCAGGTTCTGGAGGTGCTTTGGGGAGAAGGGAGCACTGGAAGGTTCAAAAACCCACCATGTGGGCACAGGAGCTCCCTAGGGTCCTCCTGCTTGGCCTTTTGAAGTGTTTGTGCAGCTCCTGGTTGGGGTTTGGGGGTTTTTTTTATACAATAAATGTGAATTCTCTCGCGTTTTGCAAAGTTGTTTCCACTCCCCGCTCACTGGTCGGGCTGTTGGGGAGGGGGTGGCACCTTCACTGTGCTCTGGGGGGTCTTTAGTGTTGGATTATCCCAGTTTCCTGAGAAATCGTGGCTTTCTGAGAGCTCCCCAGATGTGCCCAACTCCAGGAAGGCAGAACAGAAGGAAAAACCGGAGCAGCTTCCTCTGCAGAGCCTTCCCAAAGGGCTTTTCCAGGAATTCCAGGGAAGCACAACTTCCATCTCCTGGATCACGGTGGCTGTTTTGGCAGGGAGGAAAACACCCCTTTCTGAGGGTTTCTGGCTCTTCTCCATGAACTGTGGCTTCAGTTTTTGTTCCCAGGCAAGGAAAAGGCCATTTACACATTTAAATGTTTAAATTTGGGAACTGAAGATGGTTTTCCATGTGGTGCCCCCGGGATGGAGGTGATTCCTCTGCTGGAGACCAACCCCCAATACCAAGGTAAGGAATTCCTTTTTCCAATATTCCTTTTTCAGCCCAATTCCCTCTCTTAGGGTGTGGGAATTCAAAAGCTGGGGAATGTTGTCCAGCCTTGGCTGGGTGAGTTGGGAAACGGGCTCAGAGGGTGAAAACTTAAACTGAGGACTTGTAGGTGTGTTTTGACCCAAAAAAGCCCAGAGAAACCCTCTGCTGAGGGTAACCCAGCCATGGTAAAGCCTCCCAGAGAGCAGCCAGGAGCCAAATGCGGGGAATAAACTTGGATCAGGGACCTGTTTTCTCTCCAAATGTGCCCAAATCCTGTGGATCCCCCGCAGTGACTGTAATTATCCCATTTATCAGGAGAGAAATCAGCCCAAAAGTGAAAGGAGAAGAGGAAAACTCCGTTTTTCCGAAGAGTGAAGGAAGCACCGGGTTTATTCTTGTATCTCTTTATTAATAAGGGTATTTTGGAAGTTGGTTTTATGTCCGCGGATGCTCGAGCAGGGAAGGGGGGGAGCTGGAGTTGCTGGGCTCTGTCTCCCTCTTGTGACCATTCCCAGGCTCCACTTTTTAATTAAATGGGAAAAATTCCCAGCACAGACCTTGAAAAAACACTTTTGGAACTGTTTTTTCCTATTGAAAATAGAGCTGTCAGGAGATGAGCAGGAGATTACTGGTGGTTATTATTATTTTATTCGTATTATGATGATTATTACTATTATGATTACTATTATCAATATTCTCATTATCATCATATAATCACTATTATTATAATCATCATTATTATTATCATAATTTATTAATATAATAATCCACTTTATTAGATTAATCTAGTAATATTCATATTATTAATATTAATACAATCATTATAATTATAATCATAATTATTGTTGTATCATCATAATTTATTAATATAGTAATAAATTAGCATTTTATAATAATATATTAAATTAATAATATTAATGTCACTGTAAGAATCACAATTATAATAATCATTATTATTGAAGTTATTAGAATACTTGATTTATTAGAATACTTTATTAGAATAATTTTATCATCCTTGTTGTCATCATAATCATCATCAGTATTATTATTAGTAGTATAGGAATTTAGCATTATTATCATAATCTATTATTATTATTATTATTATCCTCATTATTGGCATCATACTCATAATCACTGTTATTGCCATCATTATTATATTAATATATTAATGTATATTAATATATAAATATATATTAATATTTATTAATATAATCACCAGAACTATCATTATAATTATAATCATTACTGTTATTATTATCATACTTTAGTAATGTCATAATAATTTAGCATTGATATAATAATATATTAATATTTATATTATTATTGTCAATATAATTGTTATTGTTATAATCATTATTATTGTTCTTATTATAATTTATAATAATTTATTAGAATAATTTGTATTATTCTCATCATTGTTATCATCATAACCATCATCACTATTATTATTATCATCACCATTATTATTGTTCTTATGATCATAAGAACTTAGCATTATTGCAATCACCTGTTATTATTATAATCCTCATTATTATCATCATACTCATAATCACGATTATAATAATTATTATAATCATCATTTTAATAATCATAATAATCATCACTATTATCATTATCATTATAATTTTTATTATCATAATTTATTTGTAGTATAAGAATTTAGCATTATTATAACAATCTTCTATTGTTATTATATAATAATAATAATAATAATAATAATAATAATAATAATAATACCATGACCAAAATTGGGGCATTTTTGCAAGTGGAGAAGGTAAAACCTGGAACCCAGGAAAGTGGGATGAGCCCACATATTTAAGGAATAACAGGGCTCCTGCTCATGGAATTTTGTTTTTCTTCCTTCTCCTCCCTCTCTCCATGAGGGGTTTAATAAAACCTTAAGAAATCCAAGCTGAGAAATTCAAATAAATTCCAATAAATTTCCCTGGAACTGGAGGGAAAAAAGTGAATTCCCTTTTTTTTCCCCTTTCTTCACAGGACAAGCAGCATCAACACCTGGATTCCCTTTTCCTGGAGCCCAGCCCGGGATGGGAGCAGGTCTCAGGTCCCATCCCAGGATTAATCCTGGGTTTGGGATGCAGTGAGCGATGGGGAGAAGCTGATTCTCCATCAGCTTGGACACCCAGATCCACGATTCCCATGGACAATTGGGCTATGAGTGCCTGGGAAGTGGGAAAGGTGGATTTAAGCAAGAGCAGGAAAATGTAAATTCACTTTAGAAAAGGTTTTCTCGACATCCAAACATGCTCATCACTCCAAAGAAAGGGGATGCCAAAGACATTCCCGAATTCCCATGAAATCTTGTAGGCGCTGCTGCCTCGGTCCAGATCTGACCCTGCTCCAGACCTGGCCTTGGTCCAGACCAGGCCTTGCTCT